CCGGGCTATATTTTCTGTTAATCAGCAATCTGAACAAGCCGGAATTCACTGGACTCATTTATCTATACGAATAATTCTTCCATAATTAAGCTTGCATAATTAAACTACTTAATAAAACAAGTCTAGGTTTTGAATTACATTGGATGCATTTCTTTATAAGAACACTTTGGTCTCAACTCTAAAAACACTTGAGAAAGATGGGCGTAAACAATCCTTCTAGTAACAGCACTTCAAAATTAACATTAATACAAGAAAGATCCAGGTGGTCCGCCATGTTGGTCTGAAGCAGTAGAACAAAGTTCGAACCCAGTGGCACCTTGAAGACCAACAAAGTTTTATTCACACGAAAGCTCATACCTCGAATAAAACTTTGTTGGTCTTAAAGGTGCCACTGAACTCTAAATGTGTTCTATTACTACAAGAAATCACTGAGTATCGCTGCCCTAAAAGTACATCTGCTAGCAGTAGTTTTGTTTTTTGTTTTTACAGACAAAGACCAATTCTTATCGCTAAGAAATTGGGTGATATATTCAAAATACCACCCTCCAAAATGCTGAAAATGTAGGATACAAAAAATGTTAAAAATCTACTCTGCTCTCTGTCTGCAATTCTAAAACAGGGGTAGAGTCTTGGTTTGGAAATTCTTTTAATGGCTTGATAGAAAACGATAATCCCCACGGAGAAAGAGCTGATTAGTTTACGTTCTCCCCACTCTCTGCACATCAATGTGCCTTGGAACTATATAAAAGAGGGAATGGCTTGTCCTGGCAGGTTGACGTTTCTGATTAATTGGTCGCCTTCCACCAAATCAAGATTTGTAGCCCATCCCATTGCAATAGGGAACTAATCAAGTTCTAAGTATGGAATCTTCCAGATTCATGGGGGGGGGGGGGGTTGTTGTTTTAAAACAGAGTGTACGGCTTTATAAAAACCTAGATATTCTGAGCGAAATAAAAAGAGCACACACAAAGCTTTCCAGGCTCATCACAAAGCAAAATTAAACCAGGTTTACAGGATCCCCATGCCGCTTAACAATAAATCACTCTTCTTTGTAATGATTACGCTTATTGTCAGGAGCAGAGCATAATCAGTTCCAACTGGTCCACACATGTTAATTCAGTCACAAACAGCCTTGTTTCATCAGATAGTATGCCTTTCTCAATAGGGGCAGATTACTATGAAACGTGTCTTGAAAAAGGCGGGGGGATTATCTGTTCTTTATGCTGAACTCTAAGAAATATAAAAAGCATTCATACACACACACACACACAACAAACAAATATACACACGCAACAAACAAATAATTGAAAAATATACAACATCATGTCATAACTAGCAAGTATGTTAAAGTCTACGAAGAAGGCGTAAGTCACACTTTTAGTTTATTTCTAAAACAGTTCTATGCCACCTTTTCACCCAACTCAGGGTTTCCAAGGAAGCGAATATGAAACATTTCATTCAAACACTAAGCATTTCAAACAGTGTTTAAAATACAAATGTTTATGTGTATATATGTATATTTGATTAAACAAAACATATAAATACATACACACTTATAAACACACAACCAGAAAGGAGGGCGAACAACTACACCAGAGGTAAAGAGTTTGGCCATGATCTTGAATGCCTCTTTTTCAATGGAGGCCCAAGTCACAGCAGTTGCCAGATCTGCATTTTTCTATCTGTGGCAGGTCAGCCAGCTGGTCCCCTACCTTTCCCCCCTAGCTACAGTGATCCATGCAACTGTCACCCCCAGGCTGGACTACTGTAACTCGCCTTATGCAGGGCTACCCTTGAGACTGATCTGGAAACTACAGCTGGTCCAGAATGCAGCAGCACATGTCCTTATGGGGACACCACTGAGAGCAAACATACATCCAGAGCTGTGTCAGCTGCACTGGCTCCCAGTCGCATTCCAGATCAAGTTCAAGGTCTTGGTTCCTACATTCAACGCCCTAGGCGGACTGGGACCAACATATCCGCAGGACCGTCTCTCCCAATATAGCCCCCGAAGGGCCTTACGCTCTTCTGACCGACATCTACTAGTGAATCCCAGCCCCAAATATGTACACCTAGCCTGAACCAGAGCAAGAGCCTTCTCAGCTCTGGCGCTGGCCTGGTGAACCACTCTCCCTAGTGGGATCCGGGCCCTCCGGGATTTAATGCAGTTCTGCAGGGACTGTAAAACAGAGATGTTCTGCCAGGCCTATGGTTAAGGCAGAGATAACCCATCTACAATGGCCTCCCCTCCCCTCATCTATTCTGTTCTCTGCTTGCTTAGCAGCATCCTATAGTCTATAATAGCTGCTCCCCTCACCCATTCACCTCCCTTGTTCTGTTCTGAATTGCAGCTACTTATAATGAGAACTCTTCCGGTTCCTCAAACTGTCCAGTTGGCGCCACTTAAGGATTTTTTACGTATTAGTATTGTTCTGGAATTGATAAGATTTTTACGAATTGTACTGTATTTAAAACTTTCGGATGTTTACGAATGTTGTAACCTGCCCTGAGCCCGCTGTGCAGGGGAGGGAGGGCTAGAAATTGAACTAAATAAATAAATTAGGAATGCCAAACAAAACAAAAAAAAAGTCTTCACCCCCTGGCAGAAGACAACAATAGAGGCAGACAGAAGAATCACCCTGAGGAGGGAGTCCCAAAGTTTCACACCACAACCAAGAAGGTTCTTTTTGGGTTGGCACCTGTCTAGCCTTAGACGGCAGGGGCACCCAAAGCAAGGCCTCTGAAGATGACATAACAAACCAGCCCGGAGATCCTCATGCCTGGATGCTCCCAGGATTAACACTGTGGTTTGGGAACCCTGGTTTGCAGGGAAGAGACGAAACTGCACAAACAAGCCATAGTTTGCAATTCAGAGGAAACTGCCAACTACGGCTTGCCAAGAAAGCCAAAATGAATCCTTTTTGAGCCACATGAAAGGACGAACAGGAGGAGGAGCACACGAGCCAAGCGGATCCCAAGCTTTTTCCAGTAATGACAAACTGTGGTTTGTCATGATCACGTGTGAATCTTGCCAAAGACTCCCTGCTATGTTACTTGATATTCCTTGAAAACCATTTCTAAACTTTTCAAAATCAGATAATTCATATACAGTGGAGAAATATATCCCTTCCTCCATTCACTTTGCTTTCTTGGCTCAATATGAATAAACGACCAGGAAAAATCTGGTCTAGAATCTAGATGAAACCTCCAAACCTCAGGCTAAAGCATCAACCCTTACTCAAAATGTACAGACACATATAAAACATCTCAAATACCCCAAAATACTTACTTCATGTTGCTTTGTTGACTCTCTTCAGGTGTTTTGAAATGAAATAGCCTTTCGACATTTCAGAGATGAAAACAGGGACAAACTAAGTAATTCCCCTATTTTGTTTAGAAAGACCAAAGCCCACACCTCCCCACTTTGGGGGCCCCATCTGGGTGGAAAGGTGGCATATAAATGTTTTAAATACATAAATGACTACACTTGGCTGAAGGTTCTACTTCCCCTGCTGTGGACTGCATTCATTTACTCCATGACACACTGCCCTGTGCTAACTTAAAACACAAGCTAGTATTGGATCTCTTGGATAAGGATACGCTGGATCGATCGAAAACTGTCCTATAACATGCTACCAACAGTCGCAGATCCACCTCAGTACCGACAATGAAAGGGCAGGCAATGAACCGTTGAGTGACTTAGCATTCGTTCATGTGCATGGGAACTAAAACAAGATGCAGATTTAACTTCTAGAGAAGGAGGTAGCCATGATGGAGTACATCTCATGGGGAACAGTCTAGCGAGCCACTTCCAAAGGAGAAGAAAGAAGGAACAAAACAGGGATAGTATGTGACCAGAATAGGTACCAGAAAAAGCAAGGACAAATGGAGAATCACTGGTTTTTTTAAATAATTATTTTTCAGTATAGAGTCTAACAAACAGATAGGGGCGGGGGAGAGAAATGATAGAAAATAACAGAGACTGAAATTACCTACTTAAACAAAGAAGGAGAAGAGAAGCAACTACGCTGCTCTTCCATGCCTCAACACGTGGGACTCCTAGGCAGAGCAAGACGACGCTCAAAGACACACACTCAGGCCAGCTTTCCTGGACTCACTTCCCCACTTGCGTCCACACTAGCAGTTGCACAGGGACTAGCACAGATTTATAAGCTGCACCTCTGCTCCATCTTTCTTGGGGCCAGGCAGCCCCAAACAGGTCGACGTGGCCTGGAGACAGAGCAAACAGCACCCTCCTTTTATTCCACCTCCGGGCAGCCTGCCTCCAAACCAGTGATCTCTCTAAGCTGAGTCAGTGTGAGCTAGCACACAGTTTTTTAGCCTCCAGCTCACAAATTTTTGTCTCCGCTCGGGAAGGAGGGCTCCAGAGCAAACTAATGCATGCAGTCGCCAAATCGCTCACTCACAACTTTAATGCCAGTAGCTCACAAAGGAGAATTTTTTGCTCACAAGACTCCACAGCTTACCAAGATCATTGCTCCAGACTACCCCCTGACCACCACACCAGCACCAGCGTTTATTCTCTTTTCCTCTCCAAATTCCTGCCTGCCTCCTGAACCTACATGGCTATGAAAGCATCCATCCTCTGCCTATCCTCCATGGCAAGTCCTGTCTGCACTGTTAACAGGCAAAGGAAGGCGCAGCTCGGCATCACAACAGCACAGCAGCCATGGGGGGGGGGGAGCGCTGGGGGAGGCAGCGGCCCGGCTGCTGGTTTGGGCCGTGCACCTATATGCCCATACACAGCCAACAGGCTGGTGCTGGGAGCCAGGAGAGCCGGCCCTCCCCCTTGCTCCAGTCAACTAAGCAAGGCTTCCGTAGCTTTCCATTGGAGAAAGAGCCACTTAAGTCGGAGAAGGTCTCTTTTGGCGGGAAGAAAGGCTACTGGATCCACCCCAGTATTTCGTCACATTAACGGGTGCCCAGAAATTGCCCAGCCTGAACGAACGACATAAGATATGGGAACAGAAATTACTTACATCATGCTTTGCAGTTCCGGAGTGAAGTTAGTTGATTTCCCGACCCCCTTTCCGCTGCTTGACGGGGTAACGGATGACATTTGGGCTAACTCCAGTACCGCTCACCTGAAATAAACAGAGGAGAAAACTCAGTGCTTGTTATACGTTTAGAAAAAATATTTGTGCCGCCTCTCCGGGGACCTGCCCGTGGCAGCTTATAAAATACTAAAAAAAAAAAAAATTACACATTCAGCGATATGAATTTAAAAGCAGCATTAAAAAAACAGTCCACCTAAAAACAAAAGGCCACAGACAGCTTAAAATAACAATTCTGAACTAAAATAGTGTTTGTCAGAGACCCAAGCCTGGGACCCCCTGGGTCACTGCTCCTTGTCCCTTGAGCAATAATACCCAGCCTTGTGGGTCCTTGAGGTTAAATGCACACAAATGAAAAGAAACTACATCTAAAACTAGGGTTGCCAGGTCATAGTCTCTCACAGGCAGGGGTGGGAGGGGGCTTTTCAGGGCTGGGGGGGCAGGGTGCCGTCACTGCAAGTGATGTCCCCGACGTGATGACATCAGACGTGATGTCATCACGCTGGGGACATTGTGTAGCGACACTCTGGTATTCGGGGCAAAAGTTTATGGTTACCATAGAGTTTTGCCCAAAATATTAGAGCGTCACTGACGTGATGTCACTTCCATGTGATGTCCACATGGGGACGTCGTGCCCGGTTACGGCTGTTGGGGTGGGGCTTCCCTCTGCAGGCCAGGAGCCCGAGAAATCGGGGGATTCCCCTGCTCCCACCTGGGGGCTGGCAACCCTATCTAAAACATATTATTTCCAAAGAAAAAGAGTAAACACACCCATAGCAACCCTTTCTTTTACTCTGAAGGAGGGACTGTGATGACTCTCAATAGATAACAGGCTTCCCATTTTTCATAACCTATCCAGTGAAAAGAGATGAAGAAATATCCGCTATACAGCTAGATCTGACTTTTAACCATGATAATCGTTCAGTGGCAACAAACTTCATACAGAACGAACGTCAACTCTGATGGGGCATCCGGTGGCCCCTTCTTTTTATTCAGCCGGGCTCTGCCCCCTTCTTCCTCCCACCCTTCTGTCTCCCTTCTCTATCACTGCTACTCTCACTTCTGCCATTTACAGTCGGATGTGACATCTGCATATGCAAATGGGGGGGGGAATGTGTTATGCACAGAGGAGAGGCAATAGCAAAGTTTTAACAACAACAAAAATTAGATTCAGCAAGTCCCCCCCCCCCCCCCAAAGCCAGGTTATGAACTGAGTGACATCTGCCCAAGAAATTCTACACCGGATCAGAACGTAAACCAGGCTTCCGAGGATGTGCAGAGTGAAGGAGTACTCAGTAAGGGTGCCAGGTGCCCCGAAAGACTACGCCCCAGAGTTTCTGGAACCTGGGGCATAAGTGTTTCGGTGTTGCAGGCACTGGCTGGTACTGCTGCTAGTGCCAGCTAAATCTGGAAAGCAGAGAGAAAGGGGGCATGGTTGGATTCATGGGGGAGGGAGTAGAGGGTGGCATTTGGCCCCCATTGCACTCTTGATGTCATGAAGCGCACAATGGGGCCTCCAAACCAGGCTGGGGGTGGGCGGGGTGCTGTTTCCCGCTATTTTGTAAAATGGTTCAGATTACAGCTCTAAGATAGCAATTGTAAGACTCTTTCAGCTCTGACCTAAGCATGAAATGAATTTATTGATATACAAACGCTATCACATACTCATCTCTAACAGAGCCTTATCCTAACCATACGAGAAGTATGTCACCTGCCCAGATCCTTGTTGTTGGAGAAGCCCAGACAAAATGAGACACAGCACACCTCTGACTTGACTTTAACCAGGTTCATCTGTAAGGAAGGCCCAAAGATGTACTCTCTTTTTGCATGTATTTATCCTTCCCATCATCAGCGAAGTCTTAATGTTGTCATATTCAGGTCATCTGTTTAGAGCAGGGGTGCCATGGTTCTCTCCAACACCTTTCCTGGTGCCCACCAAGTATCTTTAGAAAGTGGGTGGGACCCAGTTGGGCTCCTGCCCAACAGGGCTTCTGACTGGCCACTGGAGACCTGATTGGCTACGCAAATTAAAGTAACACAGTTTCGGTGGCAACTACCACAACAGTGTGGGTTTTATTCTCTCTCTCACTCTTCTCTCCCAGTACATTTTTTTTTAAAGCACTGCTCTTGTCCCCTGCTCTTGGGCTTCCTCTGTGTGTGGCTACACCTCCCATAGCGGCCATTTGTGGTTGGGTCCACCTCCAGTGGTGGCCATTTTGTGGTTGCACCCAGCACCTAGTGTCAAAATTGCAAAGGTGCTCCATAGGCTCAAAAATACTGGGGACCCCTGGCTTACAGCTTTTCAGGAGGCAGGGCGGTCAGCAAATAGGAAAACCAAAACTACATAATTTGCACAGTGGCAATAGCTTTGTAGCCATAATTTTGTAAAAACAAATTAAAAACAAGCTCTTGTTGCTAAAAAGAACAAAAACAAAAAAACTAAGTTCATGTCCCAAACACATCCAAGTTAAACAAAAATTGTCAGACTTTCCAATTAACTGACATGTCAAAGCCTATGTATAAATAAATATAGGTCCTTTGGTCTCTTGAGTTCGGTCATCAAATAACATTTAGATGTTCTACAGCTATCAAAAATTACAGAATTTACTGTAAGCAAAAGCCACTGTTGGTTCCCTTCCACTAATCCGCCTGACTTGCAAAGACCTAGTAAACTCTCATTTATCCAAGGTCTGCTCACTTCTTACATTATTATTAGCAGCAATAGTTGAGATAACCAAGAACAGATGTTAGTATCATTTCATTTCAGCCAACAATTTTAAACATAAGCAACACAGCTTCCAATCAGTCTACCTTTCGCTTAAGCGTATTTCCTAAAGCATAAAACCATTGTAAAATGTTCAGTAACGACTCTGAACAACTAATAACTAGCACTGCATTTCACGCTATGTTTATTCACAGGCCTGATTTTAAAATGTGTTATTGAATGTTGTGAATGATCAAGGAGAGCTGTTGACTTTACATAATTCAAGATGCTTTATATTATTTTTTCCCCTTTTTGACCAAAAGGAAAAGGAAACTAGATAAGGAGAATAAACAAGTAACACAACATTGGTTCATAAAGTGAGACTTCATTGTGAAATTCTGTTATTTCTCCAGCAGACTTTGAAAATTAAATCCAATTACAATGTCCACATATGTCCAAGTCCCAGCAAAGTTCTAACTTTAAAGTTTCCATGAGTGCTCTTTGTACACAAGACCCCAACCGCCGTTAGCGGTCTTGGGGGGGGGGTATCTTTCTATAACATCACTCTTCCAATGGGCATACGCTAAGCATCTCCCCTGGCCCCGAACTCTGGTTTCCTTACTTCTGGGAAGAAAAATTTAGAAGCTACCTCTGGTAGGGCTATTCCAGCTGCCCATGCTAGGAGCTTCGTCCAACCTCTGAGACCGCTATGTCAATGGACAATTTTCTGTTACCCAAGTGCTTAAGGAAGCTATCACAGAAAAGCAACTAAATGGCCAAAAGAAGTGTTTATTAGATATACCAGGTTCTAAGATCCCCACTGCCAGGTCGCTTGGATGCTTAGAATATATCTGTTGGGGGGAAAACTAACACACACACCCCATCTGGCTATGTGGCTAACGCTAACGAAATTCGATTAGCTCTTACAAGCATGTCTAATGTATATGTGCCATATAACACACTGCCCAGGCATCCTTTAAAAAAAGCATACTGTGGTCAAGAAGGAACACAGGAGGGCGACCCCGCCCCTCCTGGTGAAAACATAGGGGATCCCCTGGTCTGAGGCCACATAGGCCCTTTCTGCACTGACAGCTTGTTCCAGAGAATCTGAGGAACCAAGCCTTGAGGGTTGACTTCACAGTTGCACGCATTCCCTCCGTACTGGTTTTTCCCCCCTTCAGTTTATTTATTTGTGTATTCTGTATGCATTCTGCATCTACAAGCAAAACTCACATTTTTTGAGCTAACTGGCTGCCAACCCCTCCCTCCCTCCGTGATTCTCCAAAAAAAAGGAAATGAAGAGGGAAATCCGGGCCCACACATGCAAGACTGATGCATTTGGGAGCAGGGAATCCCCTAGTGACTCCATAGGTTCCCAAACTTCTTTGGCCTACCACTAAAGGGCTGCTTTAGATAGGTTCTGAACTCTTCTTTCTTTATGCTTCCACCACCTCCTTATTTGTATTCAACACCCCCCAATTGCACCCAAGGCTCCGACCACCCGCCTGGATCATTCCAGCACCCTCAGGGGGCTGTATTGCCCACTCCAGGAGCCAGTGCTAGTCCTTTATAGTTACTGATTCCTTCTTATGCTCTCTCTGGCTTTTTTAAAGTTTGCCTGAGTGGGAGGACACGTCCTCTTTTGTCTTGGGGGAGGAGGGAAAGAAAACAGAACAGGTAGGGAGCGTCAACCTAAAGAGAGAGAAGTGGAATCGGGGGAGGGCAGCAGGCAGCACTTAAATACCCAGATAAACAATTCTACTTTAGAAAGGAGTAGCGATTTGAAAGCGGATGAGAACAAAGAATCTCAGCAAAAGGAGTTTTGGTAGCTGCGGGGCAACAGTGTGCTGGAAGCAGTCGGAATGCAGATTCCTGTAAAACAAATGCAGAAATTAGAGAAAGTCCAGAAACAAAGTGGAAGTGGAAGCGGGGGGAAATGTAGAATGGAAGAATAAGATGAGCTCAGAAACGGAGGCAAAACATGGGTGCAGAAAGGGACATAGTAAAGGACACAAACCAATCTTATCTTAACTATATCCTCATCAGCCCATGTTTCTCTTTAAGTTCGTTCAGACTTCAGAAGTGTTGGTCTGGAAGGAACCCAAAGATCAACTTGTTACAACCCTTTCAGGACTACCATGAGAACCAGTCTGGAGTAGAAGCCAGTAGTGGGTTTTACAAGGGGAAAATGTAGAAGCCAATATCGTGCATGTAAAATGCATAAGCAAGCAAGCGAAGCTTTAGGAAAATAATCCAGAAGTCTCAAACAAGTGAGTTAAATCCCTTGCACTGGGCAACAGCCAACTTGACCAACT